GCGGTTGCCTCTTGGTATTGCTGGTATTCTGATACAAGGTCGTTCATGTTTGATTCAGCTTCTGTGAATTCCATTTCGTCCATGCCTTCACCCGTGTACCAATGCAAGAAAGCTTTGCGTCTGAACATGGCGGCGAATTGTTCGGAAATCCTCTTGAACAGTTCTTGTATAGCGGTCGTATTACCGATGAATGTAGATGACATCTTGAGTCCCGTAGGTGGAATATCACAAACGGCTGTTTTAACATTATTCGGTATCCATTCGACGAAATAACTACTGTTCTTGTTCTGAACGGCAAGCATCTGCTCGTCGACTTCCTTCATCGACATTCTTCCTCTAAAGACAGCAGCAACTGTCAAGTATCGACCGTGCCTTGGATCGCATGCAGCCATCATGTTTTTAGCGTCGAACATTTGTTGAGTAAGTTCGGGAACTGAAAGAGTTCTGTATTGTTGACTTCCTCTGGACGTTAGAGGAGCGAAACCTGGCATGAAGAAGTGTAGCCGGGGGAAAGGCACCATGTTTACTGCCAACTTCCTAAGATCGGCATTAAGTTGGCCGGGGAATCTAAGGCACGTTGTGACTCCCGACATTGTGAGCGAAACTAAATGGTTTAGATCTCCGTAACTTGGGTTGGGAACTTTCAGTGTCCTGAAGCAGATATCGTAGAGGGCTTCGTTGTCGATGCAGAACGTTTCGTCGGTGTTTTCGACCAACTGATGGACTGAAAGGGTGGCATTGTAGGGTTCTACAACGGTGTCTGACACTTTGGGACTTGGCATTACTGAATAGGTGTTCATTATCCTGTCGGGATATTCTTCCCTTATCTTTGAGATCAATAGAGTGCCCATGCCGGATCCTGTACCGCCCCCAAGCGAGTGAGTTAGCTGGAATCCTTGAAGACAATCGCAGTTCTCAGCTTCTTTTCTGACAACGTCCAGAACTGCATCGACCAGTTCTGCTCCTTCTGTGTAGTGACCTTTAGCCCAGTTATTTCCTGCACCTGACTGTCCGAAAACGAAATTGTCTGGTCTAAACAGCTTTCCATAGATTCCAGAACGGACAGCATCCATGGTTCCTGGTTCCAAATCCAGTAAAATTGCTCGAGGAACGTATTTGCCCCCATTACTTCTGGTAGCAACTGCAAAAAAAATACTTTAATGAAGTACATCTTTAAAGCGTTGCTCTTTCTGGCAGGAATTCTCAAAACTTATTGAAAAATTGATAGTGTTTTCCACGCGTTCGTTCTTTTGGAAAACCTGACGTCTCTGTAACCCAACGAGTATGCTCAGAGCTGCTTTTTTTTATCAAAAATAAGAAAATAAAATTCAATGTAGCAGTGCCAAATGTAATAAATGCCTGCAACCGCGTTTAACTATAGGTCACGGATGTTGACAGGAAAATTAAACAGCCCATAAATAAATTATGGTCCTCAGAAACGGTGAAACAAGAATAAAAATTTATGTACTGTTGAATGACCAGGCAGTAAATTACTCCTTAAGAGTTCTTTAAAGTCTTCGAATGCAGGTATCGCATTTCGACAAATTATGAACATTAACCAATGATTAAACTAATTGGGAAACAGAAGTCTCAAAATTAGTTAATTTTGTATAACCAAGATATTTTAAACAATGCAGCATCTTAAAGTAAAGATAATTTAGATCATATGCAATGACGGCAATAGACTTCACAACAGAAATTAAGTAAATAATGGTGTTGGACAAGACCGTTAGTTTAATTCGATTTATAAATCGAATTTAAAGATGTTCTAGAAGAGCAATACATAGACGTAGAATTGGGTGAGGTGCTCTACAATGTAGCGTGAATTCATACGATATAATGTTACTCTGATGGTTTAATGAACGGGACTTCATGAGCAGTTTCTTGTAACTTCATTTAGATTCCACCATAAAACTGTTTATCATTGCATGCAATAAAGTGTAGAAGGAAACATAGCAATAAACTATAAAAACAGCCAATTATTCTTCTACATGCCTTTGTACGCTGCAGAAAAGCATTGAAACGAGCTGCAACGCTAGCTAGCGATGAAGTCATCGCTAGACGTTTTGAGACGAAAAAGTCTCGTCTTTAGATAATTTAATCATGTCTAGCGTCTTCTAGCGGATATAATTAATTTTGTTCTTAATAGAGAATAATACGAATTTGAAACATGTTAAAGTTTTGTTCTGAATTTTTCTTTTTCGAAAATGTATCCCCAAGTGCATCCAGGCAAATTTTACTAGTTTTAGGGTTCCCTACCTAAAAAGGTGACGGTTCTCTATCGATTTGAACTTGACGTAGTAGAACAATAGAAATCATAAGTTTATAATTTGTATAAGTTCTCAAAACTTGATTTCTATAAGGGATCGTTCATAAAATAAAGGGAAGCGAGGGATATTGCTTGGCGTGACGAGATATAAGGGGTGAGGGGGTCTAAGGAAATGTGACGTTTGCAATTAGTGAATTTTATTTCAATGTTTTTCTTACAAGGAAGTTCCTACAATTTTTCATTACGATAGAAAGTCAATTTCATTGCTGTTTTTAATCACAAGAAATCGTTTATATGGACGGGGACAAGCTTTTGTGACGTAATATTTGTTAGGGGGGTCGCTAATAGTATGACTTAGGGTGACGAAAGGAGAGGAAGGGGTCGTATTTTATGGTCGATCCCTAAGTAAATTTGCAATAGATTTCATGGGGTTCAAGACAAATTGTCAGTTTCCAATTTTTGTTTTTTAATATTCTAGTAGTTGTAATATAATTAGAAATGTTGTATTGTTTATTACCNGAAAATAAGTAATCTTAGGCTGTGAAAGGTCATTTAATGGGCAACTTTTTGACCTATTATACTTTAAAAAGTCGATTTTAAATAAAATTAAAATTTCTTCACCTCATAATCAGACTGCGAAAAGTTACAATTTTTAATTTCGCGTCTTTACGTACTGTTAGACTGTTAAGAGTATTACATGAGCATTTTCTCTCATGTGTATGAGTGCAATGCCAAGGACGTCGTAGTAACGTGGTGTGCGATTTACCTACTATCCCACTGCTCCGATGGCGAATGGAGAAAAAATTAATTCATAATAATTGATCAACGCTGCCGGCTATCATTTGCATAAGTGCACTCCAGGCTGCATCAATATGTATAAATATGATCACGTATCTACGTGACTGTATAGAAATATACATGTCGAGTCGGATACTTTGTACCGGCAAAAAAGAAACCGGTTACGAATCCCTCAGCATCTCAATCACGTCCGCTTATTATTATTTATTTTTTTTTTGTTCACACCCAGTTAAATCAATAAAACTGGCAATTAAATCGATCAATAAACGTAGGTACTGTAATAACACTGGGTTTACGCCATCCCATCCTAACTAATATTATATATGCAAATGTGAGTTTGTTTGTTTGTCGGCTTTTCACTCCTTAATTACTCACCTGATCATCATGTATTGTCAGGGGTACAGAAAAGGACATAGGACGCAAAATACTGTTCCCGAGGGATAGAAAAATTAGTTCTATGTGGTCGTTGATAATCTTTGACACTTATTTAGGACATCAAATCCAATCCAAAAGTACCTAATGATTCACAATTAACTTCTAATTTTGTATGCTGCATTACATGCATTCTTGCTAATTGTTTTTAATGATGAAAGACATTATGATAGATAGAATGCCGTATAAATTTCGCCAAAATTTTACTGCCTTGACGATCGTTTTGTCACTTTGTGGCTTCTTCAGAAGATACACAAGAGCAAGGTAATAAATGTTTGTTGAACTTTTAAAAACAGTTATATTTATACGGTATTCGATATAATGAATTTTCGACAAGTAAAAGGAGAATCAATCAATTATTAAGATAGAATGCCCACTTTATGTTGGTAACTATTTTGTTCGGAAGTAATCTCTTAATAATGTCAGGTGTTTACAAAGAATCTGAATAATATTAATTCACTCGTGAAGATATTGCCTACCAAAAATTTGATTTTCTAACGTCTTTTTATGCAAAATTAACTGCGTGGCGTTTGAGTTTTCGGGAGATCCGTATAAAAAACAATTAAACAAAAACTATGAAAATGAGAATGTGTTTAGAGGTGTAGATTTTTAGTAGATATTAGTCGACATACATTAGGGAAGAAAGCAGGACATTCTCTACCGAACGTGAATTACCACCTGAACTGAGGTGAGCGCGGTAAATACTTGAGAGGACCGTATACGGCTTTTTACCGTACAACCATGTCACGAAACCAGAAAGTACAATTTAAAATACTTATAATAAGAATATTTTGCGCGTTAATCCCTGAAACCAGGGAAAAACATCGTACTTTAGGTGGGGACATGGTAAAAAAGTAATCACCGTTGTATTGTTTTTATAAATAACTAAGAAAGTTACGCTCCTCGAAGTAATCAGACTCTCAATGCTCTCTAGCGTAAACAGCGGTTACCAGTGGTTTCTACAAGTTAGTTTAGTAACACTGAGATGTTTTACAGAAAACCGCAGAGAATGTTTTTCATATAAATGAAGATATAAAAAGTAATCATCATTGTATATTTTTTAAATAAGTTAGAAACCTGCACTCCCGAGACAATTATACTCCCAATGCTCTCTAACGTAAACAGTATTAAACTGTGGTTACTAGTGGTTTCTACAATGTAGTAATACTGAAATGTTTTACAGGAAAACCGCAGAGAATGCTTCACTATATAGTATAAAACAAAGTCGCTTCCCGCTGTCTGTCCGTATGTATGCTTAGATCTTTAAAACCACGCAACGGATTTTAATGCGTTTTTTTTTTAATAGATAGAGTGATTCAAGAGGAAGGTTTATATGTATAATACATGCATAATATAGTAGAGAAACACTGATAATTTTAGAGGTTTCTAATATGATGTCGTAAATAAACACATTTTTTTTGCGCTTACATTGCAAACGCCGGCTGAACCCTACGAGATAGATCAAAATAATGTACTACAGTTTTGTACATCTTAAAATGGTCTACAAAAAAGTCCGCGATGGTATATGTCTATCTCTTAGAGGTAACCCACAGTAACCATTTTTTATCCTTTACTTTTTATGAGAAGTAATGGCTTATTTACGAAGTGATTTTAAGCAATACAGAATTAATCCTTATCCGATTAAGTACTTTTAAATTTAAGAAGTAATTATCATTGTGTATTTCTATAAATAAGTTGGAAACTTGCAATCTCGAGGCAATCATACTGTCATCGCTCTCTAGCGTAAACAGCTTTAAACCGTGGTTACCAGTGATTTCTACAATGTAGTAATACTGAAATGTTTTACAGAAAACCGCAAAGAATGCTTTTCATATAAATGAAGATTTAAGAAGTAATTATCGTTGTATATTTCTATAAATAAGTTGGAAACTTGCAATCTCGAGGCAATCATACTGTCATTGCTCTCTAACGTAAACAGCTTTAAACCGTGGTTACCAGTGGTTTCTACAATGTAGTAATACTGAAATGTTTTACAGAAAACCGCACAGAATGCTTTTCATATAAATGAAGATTTAAGAAGTAATTATCATTGTATATTTCTATAAATAAGTTGGAAACTTGCAATCTCGAGGCAATCATACTGTCATCGCTCTCTAGCGTAAACAGCTTTAAACCGTGGTTACCAGTGGTTTCTACAATGTAGTAATACTGAAATGTTTTACAGAAAACCGCACAGAATGCTTTTCATATAAATGAAGATTTAAGAAGTAATTATCATTGTATATTTCTATAAATAAGTTGGAAACTTGCAATCTCGAGGCAATCATACTGTCATCGCTCTCTAGCGTAAACAGCTTTAAACCGTGGTTACCAGTGGTTTCTACAATGTAGTAATACTGAAATGTTTTACAGAAAACCGCACAGAATGCTTTTCATATAAATGAAGATTTAAGAAGTAATTATCATTGTATATTTCTATAAATAAGTTGGAAACTTGCAATCTCGAGGCAATCATACTGTCATCGCTCTCTAGCGTAAACAGCTTTAAACCGTGGTTACCAGTGGTTTCTACAATGTAGTAATACTGAAATGTTTTACAGAAAACCGCACAGAATGCTTTTCATATAAATGAAGATTTAAGAAGTAATTATCATTGTATATTTCTATAAATAAGTTGGAAACTTGCAATCTCGAGGCAATCATACTGTCATCGCTCTCTAGCGTAAACAGCTTTAAACCGTGGTTACCAGTGGTTTCTACAATGTAGTAATACTGAAATGTTTTACAGAAAACCGCACAGAATGCTTTTCATATAAATGAAGATTTAAGAAGTAATTATCATTGTATATTTCTATAAATAAGTTGGAAACTTGCAATCTCGAGGCAATCATACTGTCATCGCTCTCTAGCGTAAACAGCTTTAAACCGTGGTTACCAGTGGTTTCTACAATGTAGTAATACTGAAATGTTTTACAGAAAACCGCACAGAATGCTTTTCATATAAATGAAGATTTAAGAAGTAATTATCATTGTATATTTCTATAAATAAGTTGGAAACTTGCAATCTCGAGGCAATCATACTGTCATCGCTCTCTAGCGTAAACAGCTTTAAACCGTGGTTACCAGTGGTTTCTACAATGTAGTAATACTGAAATGTTTTACAGAAAATCTCAGAGGATGAGATTGATATGCTTATGATATGAATCATATCTTCTCTGATCATATAAAACGTTTTGATGAGAGTAATAGTAAACTATAATTAAATTATACCTAATTTTACACTTAAGTAACAGATGCTGACAGATGCAGAAAGTTTTAGTTTACAAATAAATTGAGCAAAATTAGCGGGAATATAAATTAATATTTATATTTATTGAAAAGTTTGATTATACAAGTAGGGTTATAATGTTTAAGAGAATTAAAGCGTCTGTGATGTACTTAACAATATTTCCGCTATTACTTTCAAATCATAGAAAGTCAGGATAAATGCATTGGTATACTAACATTTCTTGAAGAACTTTTCCCCAAAAATCAAGTTTTTCACAATGTTATGTTTAGTTTAGTTTTGTGTAGTCAATTTTAATTACTTTTAGGACACGTACGTGTTGTATAATACAGTATTGAGAATCTGCAGTAATGTTTTATATTTCTAATACAATGCAGCTGTAGTAAAAGTGGCTTTGATGATTAGATACGTGCTGCTAAAGTGCTCATCAATAATTTATTACATTTAAAAAGCGACGATTAAGTCCGTAATTAGAAGGAAAATATTGAGCGCAATGCGATAAATTTACTCATAAATGTTACATTAATTATTTAATTTTTAATCACTTCATCCATGCTTACTGGAATGGAAGAAATCAATTGTGCAAACACTTATTAATCTATAAATGAAACAAAAAATATAGTTAAAATTTATTTCCTGAAAGTGTGAAAAAGTACAAAATCAGTCTCGGCAATCATTTTGAGAAAATTTCAAGTTAATCCTATAAAACGTGAAGAGTAAAGTGCAAATTTAAAATAAATTATCTTCATAAATTACTAAAATTATTTCTAATAATATTTTAAGAAAACCTAGCAGTTAAAATCGTCAGCAGCAGCTTCTTCCTCCGCTTCGTAATCTTCTTCAGCGGTTGCTTCTTGGTATTGCTGGTATTCTGATACAAGGTCGTTCATGTTTGATTCAGCTTCTGTGAATTCCATTTCGTCCATGCCTTCACCCGTGTACCAATGCAAGAAAGCTTTGCGTCTGAACATGGCGGCGAATTGTTCGGAAATCCTCTTGAACAGTTCTTGTATAGCGGTCGTATTACCGATGAATGTAGATGACATCTTGAGTCCCGTAGGTGGAATATCACAAACGGCTGTTTTAACATTATTCGGTATCCATTCGACGAAATAACTACTGTTCTTGTTCTGAACGGCAAGCATCTGCTCGTCGACTTCCTTCATCGACATTCTTCCTCTAAAGACAGCAGCAACTGTCAAGTATCGACCGTGCCTTGGATCGCATGCAGCCATCATGTTTTTAGCGTCGAACATTTGTTGAGTAAGTTCGGGAACTGAAAGAGTTCTGTATTGTTGACTTCCTCTGGACGTTAGAGGAGCGAAACCTGGCATGAAGAAGTGTAGCCGGGGGAAAGGCACCATGTTTACTGCCAACTTCCTAAGATCGGCATTAAGTTGGCCGGGGAATCTAAGGCACGTTGTGACTCCCGACATTGTGAGCGAAACTAAATGGTTTAGATCTCCGTAACTTGGGTTGGGAACTTTCAGTGTCCTGAAGCAGATATCGTAGAGGGCTTCGTTGTCGATGCAGAACGTTTCGTCGGTGTTTTCGACCAACTGATGGACTGAAAGGGTGGCATTGTAGGGTTCTACAACGGTGTCTGACACTTTGGGACTTGGCATTACTGAATAGGTGTTCATTATCCTGTCGGGATATTCTTCCCTTATCTTTGAGATCAATAGAGTGCCCATGCCGGATCCTGTACCGCCCCCAAGCGAGTGAGTTAGCTGGAATCCTTGAAGACAATCGCAGTTCTCAGCTTCTTTTCTGACAACGTCCAGAACTGCATCGACCAGTTCTGCTCCTTCTGTGTAGTGACCTTTAGCCCAGTTATTTCCTGCACCTGACTGTCCGAAAACGAAATTGTCTGGTCTAAACAGCTTTCCATAGATTCCAGAACGGACAGCATCCATGGTTCCTGGTTCCAAATCCAGTAAAATTGCTCGAGGAACGTATTTGCCCCCATTACTTCTGGTAGCAACTGCAAAAAAAATACTTTAATGAAGTACATCTTTAAAGCGTTGCTCTTTCTGGCAGGAATTCTCAAAACTTATTGAAAAATTGATAGTGTTTTCCACGCGTTCGTTCTTTTGGAAAACCTGACGTCTCTGTAACCCAACGAGTATGCTCAGAGCTGCTTTTTTTTATCAAAAATAAGAAAATAAAATTCAATGTAGCAGTGCCAAATGTAATAAATGCCTGCAACCGCGTTTAACTATAGGTCACGGATGTTGACAGGAAAATTAAACAGCCCATAAATAAATTATGGTCCTCAGAAACGGTGAAACAAGAATAAAAATTTATGTACTGTTGAATGACCAGGCAGTAAATTACTCCTTAAGAGTTCTTTAAAGTCTTCGAATGCAGGTATCGCATTTCGACAAATTATGAACATTAACCAATGATTAAACTAATTGGGAAACAGAAGTCTCAAAATTAGTTAATTTTGTATAACCAAGATATTTTAAACAATGCAGCATCTTAAAGTAAAGATAATTTAGATCATATGCAATGACGGCAATAGACTTCACAACAGAAATTAAGTAAATAATGGTGTTGGACAAGACCGTTAGTTTAATTCGATTTATAAATCGAATTTAAAGATGTTCTAGAAGAGCAATACATAGACGTAGAATTGGGTGAGGTGCTCTACAATGTAGCGTGAATTCATACGATATAATGTTACTCTGATGGTTTAATGAACGGGACTTCATGAGCAGTTTCTTGTAACTTCATTTAGATTCCACCATAAAACTGTTTATCATTGCATGCAATAAAGTGTAGAAGGAAACATAGCAATAAACTATAAAAACAGCCAATTATTCTTCTACATGCCTTTGTACGCTGCAGAAAAGCATTGAAACGAGCTGCAACGCTAGCTAGCGATGAAGTCATCGCTAGACGTTTTGAGACGAAAAAGTCTCGTCTTTAGATAATTTAATCATGTCTAGCGTCTTCTAGCGGATATAATTAATTTTGTTCTTAATAGAGAATAATACGAATTTGAAACATGTTAAAGTTTTGTTCTGAATTTTTCTTTTTCGAAAATGTATCCCCAAGTGCATCCAGGCAAATTTTACTAGTTTTAGGGTTCCCTACCTAAAAAGGTGACGGTTCTCTATCGATTTGAACTTGACGTAGTAGAACAATAGAAATCATAAGTTTATAATTTGTATAAGTTCTCAAAACTTGATTTCTATAAGGGATCGTTCATAAAATAAAGGGAAGCGAGGGATATTGCTTGGCGTGACGAGATATAAGGGGTGAGGGGGTCTAAGGAAATGTGACGTTTGCAATTAGTGAATTTTATTTCAATGTTTTTCTTACAAGGAAGTTCCTACAATTTTTCATTACGATAGAAAGTCAATTTCATTGCTGTTTTTAATCACAAGAAATCGTTTATATGGACGGGGACAAGCTTTTGTGACGTAATATTTGTTAGGGGGGTCGCTAATAGTATGACTTAGGGTGACGAAAGGAGAGGAAGGGGTCGTATTTTATGGTCGATCCCTAAGTAAATTTGCAATAGATTTCATGGGGTTCAAGACAAATTGTCAGTTTCCAATTTTTGTTTTTTAATATTCTAGTAGTTGTAATATAATTAGAAATGTTGTATTGTTTATTACCTGTGGCTTCATTGTAATAAACGTTAATCCTCTCCAATTGCAAATCGCTTTCGCCAATGTAGATTCCGCTAGGGTCAATGCCATGTTCTTCGGAAATCACTTCCCAAAACTGAAAAAATTAAGATAATTGCTACAAATATTGTTATTGTCTATACCTCATTAAGTAGTACTTATATCAGTGTAATTACGTATGATAATCAAAACATAAAAACCAACTTATTCCTACTACATGCTGTAATTTCTCCGATGGTGTTGCATGGTCTTCATCTTTTTCTTATTATTATTACGACAAAAATTTTTGAATTAATTAATTTTATTAAACCTATTAAAAAGTAGAAGTTACGATCTTGCAAATGTAATTTAGTTAAATTTAGCCAGAGTTCACATAACTGATAGGTAAACGATAAAGCAACTTTTTGTGTAGTTTCTATAATAATTACTCTTACTGTTCAAATAGACAGAAAATGCTTTAAGTGCTTATTTCAAAATTTTTGTTATTGTATAATAAAAATCTCATTTCTTCCGTAATTGTAAAGGTTTCTTAATGTTTATTGTACCGCATTTCTGTAACGATATCTTCTTGAATCATTATTAAGAGGCCAAAGGTTAGGACTAACTCTACATATTATTGGATAATTTGGAACTTCATAGAAGAAGAATATTTTAAGTTCGTAGTCAATGATTTATTCAAGCTGCGTGATTTCAAATTTATTTGTCCCCATCAGCACGCCACAGCAATTTCATGACAAAATGTAATTAAAAAGTTTGCAATGTTGCATTTTATTTATTTACCCTAGAATAATAATTTTAGCTATGGTGTAGAGTCTAGACTGTTGGATTCATTTCGTTAAAGTAATTTTAAACACCATTAAACATAGCAAATGTAGCTTTATAGACCATTTCGACGTTTTAATGTATCTTAAGCTTGCGCTTTACATTCCTCTCCGAGAACATATTTCTATTTTATATGTCAACGTCGTCGGTCCTTTGGAACTTTTACTGGAGACTGAGAAAAATTGCGGTTCAACGTACATTTACATTATGTACACACGAAAATAAATTTCTATTTCTGTTTGTGCGTTTTCGAATGCTTTTGAGACACTGTCGGTGACCGGACACCCGAACTGGCAGACGAACAATCGACACTAATGCAATTGCAGAAATATATAAATATATTCTTTGTACATAGATGAATTCATATATTTCACGCGAAATTCAAGCTAAATATACAGAATATACAACTATTTTAGATCTTTTCTTCCGGGTTCTTTATTTTCGTCAAAATTTTTCTATTGACACCATTCATTTGACAGCCAAACAAATCTGTCTTCGCCAAAACGTTTTCACATGTCTACCGGAAGTGACACGATGAATGCTAATTTTATGAGGGAAACATCAACTAAAACTGACTTTTAAGTAAGATCAAAAAAGAATTTAATATTGTAAACATCACGCTTTATTTTGTTTCCTAAATAATTTATTTTCACTTCTCTGTCTGTAACAATAGCAGGCCATAAATACACTTAAGTATTGGATTTAAGGAAATTAACCATAAATGGTAATTTATAGTAGTTTCATTATATCGAATTGAAACATGTTATTTTTTCTTAAATTAGTTATTAAATTATGTCCCATCTACAGAGTATCTCGGCGTCCTAAGTACGCCCCTGATATGTGCGAACCACGTTCGCTCCCTAGTTATAAGAATTCGGCAACGTCCTAAATCCAATAACTTAGTAAATACAACCGTATTTACAAACGAAATAATAAATAAATATGTTACAACTCTCTCGAAAAAAAATCGGTTGTCTGTAAAGTCGGTTTACTGACGATAGTTGAACGTGACAACGTCATAAGAAAATACTGATGGAATGGTTTCATTTTTCAAAAGAAAATTTTAATTTTATTTGTTTGATAGATATGTTGTATGGATATAGAGAAGGAGGTAAATACAAATGTATTATTGTATAGCAGCTGTCCACACGGACGCATCGCTCACTCAAGTAGGAGAGAGACAGATGTCGAACGCTGCCGAACGCGGAGACCGATTGTGCCTCTTTGTCGCTCGTTCCGCGCTCTCGCTTGCACTTCAAGCCTTAAATAGAACGCCTCAGAGCGAGGTAACGCCGCATGAGTCATGTTTTTTCGTGCATGCAGCCGGCTCCATCGAATTATAAGACGTTGTCACGTCAAAATAAGCAATTAATTTTGTATTTGCTATAACGAATTAACTTTACATTAGTATCGCCTACTCTAGTACGCGATTTTATGGCGTTTGTAATCTGTAACAAAACCAATACGATGCAATTAAACAGAATTGGGAGTAGGATTTTTTATAGCAATTCGAAAAAGTGTTGTAAATTTTCAATACCTGTGTAGGTATTTATACAGAAAATAGTTTGATAATAAACAGAAGATACTTATAATGATGATTAATTGTGTTGTTGTGAAAACTTGCTCACTTGGTTAGTTTTGTATATAAATTATTATTTTAGAAGAAGTCGCGGTTAGTAGGTGCATACAAGTTTTATCCCTCGAGAACAAAATTTGATCGTAATACTAAAAACAAAGATGCACTTGGCTTTTAATTTTACATCTCATTCAAAAGATAAATTTAGGCTCAAGGATAAATCTTCTTGCTTCTAAATATTCCAGGGTTTATCCCTATGAATATTCAAGTAGCTTACTAAAATATCTTATAAGCCGTGTACGACAAGTATTTCCGTTTGTTCCGATAAAAAGTAAAGTGGTGAGACTACATATAGCTGGCACGGATGGTTTTATAAAAATATACCTAAATTAAACTTCGCTTGGGACATGTCTTCTTGAACGTTTCTTAATTGAAAAAATTTACACTGACGATTGTCATTTAGTTTTTTTCATGAATCATGCAACTTAGTTTTAAAATAGCCTGTATTCTTATATTAGGAATTTCGCAAATGTTTTATCTTCACTTTTAATGAAACATAACTTCAGTTATTTTAACTCGAAAACATATTTCAGTTATTTTTGATCAAAAGAATACTGGGGTTTAAATTTATTTTATTTAAAAAACCACAACCAACGTTTCGCCCAGGTTGTTAGCCTTTTTCAAGACTAGTTTTATTCAGTAAAAATTGTAATACTGATGGAACTTGGTTAAAGGATATGCTCAGAGACCAACAAGCATTAATAAACATTAATAAAAATTTTTTTGTATAGATAAAATTCTAAAAACTAACATAACAATTTTAAAAACGTTGTACTATTTAAATAATAAAACAACTGTTGTTTTTTAACATGTTTATGTATAACTGTCACCACGTGTTTTTAATTATTTATTTATTTATTTTAATTGTACAACGTGTTTGAAACAATTATTGTGTTAGTTTTTTATCTATATAAAAAATGTTTATTAATGTTAATTAATGGTAGTTGATCTCTTAATATGTCCTTTAACCAAATTCCAACAGTATTAAAGTTTTAACTAAATAAAACTAGCCTTGAAAATGCCTAATAACCTGAGTGAAACGTTGACTGTGGTTTTTTAAATAAAACAAATTTAAACCCCGGTATTGGTTTCAATATCAAAAACAATTGAATGCAAAATAAGGGAAGAAGGTATAGAAGAACATATTTCGCTTATTAAAGCGAAAATATACACACCCGTGGCGAGGTATCAATTCTTAAATAGTTATGTTTGCTAATAGAAAAATATTCTTTCCTTATGCCAATAAATGCATATCTTTCAAATTTGTAAAAAGATCATGTAATCGTATAGGATTCTTTGTGGTTCTATTTTTTTCTTTTAAAAAATGAATATACAGTAAAATCCGCTTATAATGACATTGAAGGGAAATGACAAACACGTCATACTAAGCGGGCGTCATACAAAGCATAGTCTTAGAAAATAAGCAACTTTCTATTTTGGGTAGTTAATTAGTTCAATAGAGAGGAAAACTACAAATTGTATATATTTATTAACAGAAAAAGAAAAAGAACGATGTATTGTAATTTCAATATACATAAGAAGAATCAGAAAAATGAGCGAAAATGTTATTAATCATTTGGGTGACTATAGCCGGATATAATTTCTTGAGAATCAGTTATAATAAACGATATGTCATCTTAAACGGAGTCATTTTATCCAAAGTTTTCTATAGAGAATTTAATATGAAAACTAAACTTAGCACTGCAATTAATTCATATTAAGCGGTTGGTCAATATAGGCGGAGTCTACTACAGGATATTAAAGGAAAGAATGTCAATCGAAAGCAAGGATGTGGAGGATCTTAAGGGCTGCCACTCCCATGTACGTTCAGTAATTTTTTTAATAGTTTCACGGTTAAAATTCATGATCTGTGCATGGCATCGAAAAGGAATGTTTAATGTTTAACATCACTAGGAATCTCTATTTTGATCAGAAGCTATAAAAAAATTGTTTGATCCACATACCAGTAGTAAATAATAAGGGGAAAATGAAATAGAATAAATAAAAAGATCAAAAATTGCTGAGCCCACTCCTTGATACTCTTTTGAATATGTAGCTCACAAAATTATTCCCATCTCCTATTTTGCTTTGAACTATTTTCTAGTATCGCAATAAAAATGATTAAATAAATTAACTATCGGTCATTATATTTTAGTAATTTTATAGCTGACCTTTTTCCGACTACAAAATGCAGAATGTAGTGTCATTTGCTCCAAAACGATGCATAATTCGCTTAATTCGCTATGGATAAGTGTACAATTAAACGGGCTGCTATTTAAAATATTTGTTTTTTGAAAGCCATTGTCTGTGGCGGACGGTGTTTTTACTGTCTATCAGAGCGTTACCATATCAGACCAGCGTCCATCCTGACATTGTTAGGCATCTAGTACCCGTACCTACATTACCTTACCAACGAGCGATGTAGACGGACAGTGAAATGCAAGATTGACTATTAGGTTGTTTTTTTGTTGACGAGGCCCGTTGTTCAGTCAATGATCCAAATAATTATTTTATAACTGTTTCGTACATAAAGACGTTAGTTGCTAAGGTGCGTTCCAATGCAAAATTACCGGCAGTTTGATACAAGATATTTATGAAGAGTGATTGCCAAAAGCATGTAGGAAATTATTCAAAAAATCATAAAAATCTTTTAAAGAAACTTTTTATAAAACAAACAAACCTGTAGATTTCTACTTATCCTTATCCAAGAAATTTTGTACGCACATTGTCAGGAGCATGGAAAAGGACATAGAGTTAAAAAAAATCCCCCTAGGAATAGAAAGAAGAGCTTTATTTACTGTCATTCTACTAGTATATGTTTGACGTAGAAAATTAGAAACTTTAGTTTTACCTTGATGATCCTGGTCAGGACTTAAAAGCAAATTTATCGAATTATTGTATTTTTAATGATCTGTAACTCGTATTTGGGATATCAATGAGAGCGAAGCCGGGGGGTAAAAACTCGTTACTAATAATTCCTACTTCATCAGTTTTTTTGGTTTAGGTTCAGGTTAATGACAACGGCAGTAATAAGTAATAACCCCTACATTTTTTACTAGGCATACATTTCTCATGAAGGGCTAATCAGAGACATATTAGAAGCAGAAACAGGGGTTAAGAGGACTTGAGGTAGACCTAGATTAGATTACTGTTTCGCAAATAGTTAAGGACATTCCACAGGATTTTCTAGTTTTAGGGAAATGTTAAAATTAGCTTAGGATATGAAAGAGTGGAGGTGTGTGTCTAACTTGTGTTAGGACTGACGACTTTATGACGATTACATTTTTGAGTATAGCAATAACAAATTTAGTTAGGTTTCCATTTTTCGGTTGTAAGAATTTTACATGTAAAGTTTTTATCCAATTAGGAATTTCTGCAAATTCTGAATCATGTCAGACAATCACTGCACTTTTGTAAAAACTCAACGAATTTAAATTTATCTGTTTTTTATATCATTTTTCCCTCCTATATCGGAGGAAGCCCAATGCCTCAAATTTCTTTGAATTTGCTTTAATTTTAATCAGATTATTTATTTAATTTATTAACTACAAAAAATATTAAGTTTTTTTAAAGTACAAAACGTGTGTGAATTAATTGTTGGGAAAAGTTGACGTAATAATAATTTTTACAAGCGGAAGGTTAAAATGTAATCAAAGTCGATTCTGCTGTAACAGTGTGCTCTCTTTTCTTTTCTACCGTTTGAAATTAAGTTGTTTTTATGTTCCACAGAATTTTATTTATGCATTGCACTTGGAATAATTTTTCGGTCCTGAATTCGACAAATAATAAACAATTTACTTAATGACGAATTTTTTGGATGTGAGATAAAAGTACAGACAATTTGCTGTATGACAAAATTTTCTCTTGATATCTAAAAATATTTCGGTTTACTAACCAAATATAGACAATTACATGTTTGAATGTTTTACTTTTGTTGAAAACGATAAATGGTTGTCGCTAATATACGTATATGTACTATATCTACATAAGCAAGATAGTTTAATGACGAACATTTTCGGAAAAATGCTATTCAAAACAATGATAAATATGATATCGTGAATAATATATCATTTTTATGAATAATTTATNTCTATTTGAATTCTAAATTCCAATTAGGCTTAAAAACGACAATTCAAGTAATGATAAAAGTTACCTTGTAAGCCACAAAAATAAATTTTTTTGTATTATCAGCATTATAAATAATTTACAGATATATGAAAACGCGAACATTCAATCATATGTGTTATTAAAACATTTTAAGATAGCAGTTTATGTAAAACTTTAAAAACAATAAATTTTAAGATACCTATTCTTTACGAATTTTAATGTAGTTACATATTGTGGTGTTTAAGTAGTATATATGTATGTATGTTTAGATATAGATTAAATGTACTGTGTATGTGTACACGAAATGATATGGTCCTCGTGTCTACACAATGGACTATTTAAGCACGGATGCAATGACCTTAATGCCTTTTGTAACACTGATAAAAAAAATAATAAATGAGAGTATTAATTTTAACTCGTTGCTGTCTTTAAAGTTCGTAATTAACTTCGCGATACTATAAGACACTAGAAACACATGTTAAATTCTCTTTAAAATAGTAGCCACTTTAGGGAGGGAAATAATTGAAAAATAATTACATGAAGAAATGACCAACTACACAGCTAATAAAAGCAACTTATATGGTCTATAAAAAGAAGTATTTAAAAATAATTCAATGGTAGCGCTTTAATATATATATATATAATAACAAACATGCATATGTACGTATTCATATCAAAGTGAATTTTGTACTGTATATTAGTAATCACAATTTTATTCATATCAAAAATTCGCACATATGACAATTGCAGGTATTGTTTTCCTTTCTGTTTTGAAATACCTTACATTTTAACCATAGTTAAGCATCATAAAAATAAAACTTTGTGTACGGTAATAGTTAAAAACCGTCTTTGAACAAACTAAAAAAATATAAAAATTGCGTACAAGGATATTAATTTACCTTATTTCACAGTAACGGTTTACTTTTTTGGCAAATATAACTGAATATTCTGTATATGGAAGACCATGTAAGGGAAACAATGGGCACACTTTTTAATTAACTTACATTTTAACCATAGTTAAGCATCATAAAAATAAAACTTTGTGTACGGTAATAGTTAAAAACCGTCTTTGAACAAACTAAAAAAATATAAAAATTGCGTACAAGGATATTAATTTACCTTATTTCACAGTAACGGTTTACTTTTTTGGCAAATATAACTGAATATTCTGTATATGGAAGACCATGTAAGGGAAACAATGGGCACACTTTTTAATTAACAGACAGCGTATTATTTCTAAAATGGAGAAATGATGAAATAAAAACTCCGATACCATCGCTATTAAATACTTTAGTGTTTACTATTAAATGACCACATGTGCGATAATAGGCAGGGAAACATACTGATAAGACGCGAATTATATTGTTCATTTTTATTAAATTTATGATCGCAGTAATTTAATATTTGAAGAAACATTTAAAAATTTTAGAAATAATACTTTCTTTCATACTATTTAAATTTCAGAATTAAAGTAAATTACGAACAGATTCACTTTTATTTTATTTTTCGTTTTTATTCGATAATTATTGTTAACTTATTTAATTAATAACCTAAATAAAATCACCAGAAATGAAAAGGGTTAATCGTACAATTTCTTACAATCAAACAATAGTTTTAATATAATACTATTCTAAAAAAGTTATTTTGGGGAGATGCTATTAAAGTTGTAAAGAAATTAAAATCGAAATCCTTCTAGACTTTTGAACTTAAGCAACTAAAAAAGTTTTTAAAACTTCAAACATAGGTTCACTTTGAAAAAAGTAAAATTCGGTTTTAAATGTAATAAATAAAACGTATAAAAAATTGTTCATACCTTGGCGCCTACTTGATTTCCACATTGTCCGGCTTGAAGATGCAGAATTTCCCTCATTGTTGTTGCTCGATTGTTTCTGTTCTGATGCCTTGGAGCTACTGTCACGCCTCGAAGCCAACTGCGATGAGCTACTGAGTAAATGAACCTTTAGCTCAGACAGTGACTGCCTCTGGCATGGAGATCGTCCATATCACGTTACACTCATTTTATCTAACTTTAGTTCTGTTTTATTTCTAACCACAACGGAAAGTGTTTATAGGCATGTCGAAAAGCTCGTAGACATAAGGAGGGCCAAATATTTAATTAAGCGGCATCAGGCCAACACCCTTCAGATTTCTTACATTTTTTGAAATCCTCATCTGACTTCTATCTTTAGAATTTAGAAATTCTCTTAATGAAGAAATACTTCGTTCAGGTTATTCCTTTTAACATAATTTTATGAGGTTTAATTGTTCTTTTGTATAATTAAACTATTAAACGTCGTTGGTTGTTTACCTACGTTCATTTGTTCCACAAAATCTTCTCTTGTAGTGTGAGTAATTCATAAGATCGTACGCAAGAAAACAAACCTTTTATCTTTATATGACGATGAGACAAGCAGTAAAAGTCTGTGTGATAAATAACAAAGTAGATATCTCGTGAATACTAAATAGATAAGGCCATAAGCTGATACTGATTCAAACTTCAATAATAGTTTTCTGCTGCCTGATAATTATAATTTTACGAGTAATTAGGTATGTTCATACGTAAATAAACCGACAAAACAATTTTATCTGTTTTGTCTTCATAACAATGCGATTTTTATGGTAATCATTTTGAATAATAGAAAACAATTAAATTAATTCCAATGTACCTACTGGTATAATATCTAATTTTTAGAACGATCTAAACCAAATTATTTTTCAATTTCGGGAGAAAGGGATTTAGCTCTTAATTTACCTACAAAAGTCAGATGTGTATTAATTTAGAAATGTTCCTTTTATAATCAAATAAGAGAAATCCATGCAGCTTTAAACAGTTTCATTAGTAGCTAATATGTATAAGACTATATATCTTCAAAAGGGAAGCATAAATTCAACGAATTTTGAATACACAAAAAGAACTATTTGCACTGGTTTACCAATTATACATTACAAGTGTTTAAACTTGTTCAGAAGCTTTAGGAAAAACTTGGGATAAGTTTATTATCAAACTTCTAAAGCAGTTATAATAAGCGATAAAACAATTACATAGATACACTTTTTTGATATAAGATTAAAGGTATTTTTATTTTCTTGTATTATTCAGTGAATTGACAATTTATTGAATTGATTTAAAATAGTAGAAAAAATGTTTCTATTCCTTAAATGTATTTAAAACAATCTTCGACTTTTATAAGACTTTATCTTTTCGTCTGTCTGTATTTGTATGCATATATTGACAATCTATACTATAACCTCAAGAATCCGGACATAGCTAATCCGATTCTCCGCTAATCCGAACAACGAACACTCATAATTCGAACAAACTTGATAGTCCGAACAAATTCGAATAGCGCAGGCGTGACAACGTCATCCGGCTCAAAAAGAAGCTGTAGATACATGCAAAATGTTACATTTCGTCCATCTTATGAAACAATTACATTAACAGTTATGAAATGGCGTCAAAACGCATACGTATTGCGTTATCAATATAGGAAAAAGTTGATATTAAACGTCCCGAGCTACTTTTTTATGTTTCATATTTGTTTAAAGAATAAGGTTTATATGTATGCAAATATCTGTATTTAATATGTCAGACGATTGCTCTTTGATAATCCGAAAAATCAATAATTAGTTCGTATTATCGAGGTTGTGCTGTATTTTGCATCTCTTCTTCATTTTAATGTAAAAACCGATTCCAAAAACGCTACTTCTTGTTGTGTACACATGTGAATTGGCATATTTAAATAGTAAAAACGCTTACATCGAAGTGACTTCTGACGGATTCATAAATAAACTCTTGTCTAGGATAACAACGGTTATTTATTTGCCTGAGTTCCAAAAATGACATGCGGAACTATAAGAATGGGCCACATACGAAAATAGAACTTTAAGAAGTCAATCTGAGGCACTCTTACCACTTTAAAGATAATGATACTATTATGGTCGGAGTGATTATAACTTTAAAACAAGAGAAAAATAAAATTGATTGTAAATAGAAGTATTTGTCTCTGTGGTGATCCCTCTTAAATAATCTCTCTAACGTTCTGTTTAAGCACCGACAATTTCAATAAACCAACCTACCGGTAATGCATTATAATTATACGAAAAAGCCCTATGATCCTAGGAAAAAATGTATTTTCAGCTACTTTTTATTGGGTATAGTATTTTTCTTAGTAGTTACATATAGGTAAATAAATAATATATTTTGTTGAATAATCCACATATTTTTGTACAAATTTAGTTTAGTAAATGTAAATTATCGTAAATTAGCTACGAAATGCTGATAACTGATATATTTGCTTCCGGTTTTGATGTTAATGTTGTTTAATATAGAAGTAGGTACGCATTTAAGTGTAACCACAACCAATTTCCTTGCATCAAATTTAAAAGAACGAATATGTTATGACTCACTTCATGCCTCCCTTTTGAAATGCTAGAAGCCAAAAGTCGATTTCGAAGTCTTGCAAGTGTTTCTTATGACGGTAGTTTTATAAGTTGAAGCTAACCATATGTTTGAAGGGAGAAATAAGCGCGTACATATTTTAAGAAGCATCTAAATAAAAAAATTAATAAATTAATTCTTCTTGTGTACTTATGGTTTGGAATTTCATTTTATGTTTATCCCAAAAAGCTTCTCTTATATACGTATTTTCTTTATTATCTGTATAATTACCATTATAAAATTTCTTATAAAAAAATGAAGTTTCCCATTTTAATGCCTTTTAATTTTTCAAGCATTGCAGTAATTTTCAGACTTTTAACTTCCACCCGCATATATCTCTTACATAGGCTTCTTGATTTACACTTTGTATGCAACTTTGCAAACACATATACCTAACAGATTGTCTATCTTTATTGTAATTTTATCCGATTAGTAACAAATTATTTATTATTACTAACTTTGTAACACGATTTTTACAGATTCTAAACATTTCATTTACAATAGCAACCCCACCTTCAAGATGTGATTATTTTCAATATTTATATTAACTTTCAATATTGTAGCAATAGTTGCTTAGTAAAAAAAGCAAATTAAATATTACTTTCAGGTGGAATAAATTTTATTATCTCTGGGTGATCTCAAAACTAAATTTTTAACAAAACTTGACTATTTTGCTACAGAATATTTAAAATGTGCAAGTCTTACATAAGGGTTTTTCAATTAAAAAGACGATATGCTTTTATTATTTTTTATTTAAACTGAAAAGTAGAAAGTTCTTTCATGAACAGTTCTATTGAGTTTATCAGCAGAAAATATAAACAATGTTAATAATTATAACAATAAATTTCATAGTCTTGCAATGACCTAAAATATTGTCATTATCTAAATACGAAAAAGTATAAATTTAAGTTGAATGGCTTAATTTAATGTTGGAAGCTGGTATAAAAAAAAAACGAAAGCACAATTTTTATACGAATATGAAGAAGAACTAACACACATTTAGTTCTTTAAATACTAATTCTCGAATCAAGGTAGGAAATATGTCAGTCTTGTGTAAAACAACTGCTGCTTTGTTTGCATTCTATTTTTTAATTTAATTTTCGTCAACTTCGGCCTCTGCTTCTTCATCAAATTCTGCATCTTCGTCAGCCGTTGCTTCCTGATATTGTTGGTATTCTGATACGAGATCGTTCATGTTCGATTCAGCTTCTGTGAATTCCATTTCATCCATACCTTCGCCCGTGTACCAATGCAAGAAAGCTTTTCGGCGGAACATGGCTGTGAACTGTTCTGAAATGCGTTTAAATAGCTCTTGGATGGCAGTAGAATTACCAATAAACGTAGCTGACATTTTAAGACCTCTTGGTGGAATGTCACATACAGCTGTCTTGACGTTGTTGGGTATCCATTCGACGAAATAGCTGCTATTCTTATTTTGGATGTTCAACATTTGTTCGTCGACTTCTTTCATTGACATACGACCTCTAAAGATAGCTGCCACGGTTAGGTAACGCCCATGTCTTGGATCGCAAGCGGCCATCATATTTTTGGCGTCAAACATTTGTTGTGTTAATTCTGGTACAGTCAGAGCCCTGTACTGTTGGCTTCCTCTCGATGTGAGTGGTGCAAAGCCGGGCATGAAGAAGTGGAGTCGCGGGAATGGTACCATGTTGACAGCCAATTTTCTAAGATCTGCGTTCAATTGACCAGGGAACCGTAGACACGTTGTTACGCCAGACATTGTGAGGGAAACTAAATGATTTAAATCGCCATAGGTTGGTGTTGTCAATTTCAAAGTTCTAAAGCAGATGTCATAAAGAGCTTCATTATCGATACAGTATGTTTCATCTGTGTTCTCAACCAACTGATGTACTGATAAAGTTGCATTGTATGGCTCTACAACAGTGTCTGATACTTTAGGTGATGGCACAACAGAATAGGTGTTCATTATCCTGTCTGGGTATTCTTCACGGATTTTTGAGATTAGTAAAGTACCCATACCAGATCCAGTACCACCACCAAGGGAATGAGTGAGTTGGAATCCTTGAAGGCAGTCGCATGATTCCGCTTCTTTTCGTACTACGTCTAAAACGGCATCTACAAGTTCGGCTCCCTCTGTATAATGACCTTTTGCCCAGTTATTTCCGGCGCCGGACTGTCCGAATACAAAATTGTCTGGTCTAAATATTTGTCCAAATGGTCCAGATCTGACGGAGTCCATGGTACCTGGTTCGAGATCGACGAGTATGGCACGTGGTACGTATTTTCCTCCAGACGCTTCATTGTAATATACGTTTATTCTTTCTAATTGGAGGTCGGAGTCTCCGTGATATGCTCCAGTGGGGTCTATTCCATGTTCATCTGATATAATTTCCCAAAACTATAACAAAAAATGCCAGATTAATAATTGAAATCTGAGAAATTATTTATAAATAATTGTAAATAGTGTAAATGAATGTACGAAGGAATGTAATGTTTCTAAAAAAATGCTATAAGTAAAATAGGATTCAAAAAACCGCACCCAAATTGTATAGGTTTATATTGGTAAACACCCGATGCAATAAAACCTTAAGAAATATTAAATAATTAAACCATAATCTCTAAATATCTATAGCATCCCGTTTCAAAACTGGAACTGTAATCGTTTTCATATAATTTTTTTCGAAAATATTCGCCACACCTACATTTAAAGTGAATGTCCAATAAGTAGATACTAAGCTTTCGCCAGAATCGCAAGTGATTAATCATTGACATTTTGAAAAACCAACGATAAAGATATTTGTTTTCAATAATCGTGAGTATACACCTGGAATTGTTTTTTGACTTATGTACTTCAATAACTGTCGTACGCAAAAATAAAATTGTTCATATTAATGCAATTTGTAATATTACTTTACCCATTTTTAAATCAATATAAGTCCAAATTTCAAAAAAAAAAAAAACTAAACCACTGAAGTCAAATCCTTCTTCTCTTAAAGGTTAATATGGTATGAAAACGAGACGTCAGTAGTTTTCCTTGATAAAAAATTTTATTTTTAACAACAAACTGTTATAATACATACATAGGTATAAATGTTGGTCAACTTGATCATATCTATTTTTAGTAACTTGGGAGGTGACGTAATCATTTTATAAACCACTGGATTGTCTATTTGAATTCTAAATTCCAATTAGGCTTAAAAACGACAATTCAAGTAATGATAAAAGTTACCTTGTAAGCCACAAAAATAAATTTTTTTGTATTATCAGCATTATAAATAATTTACAGATATATGAAAACGCGAACATTCAATCATATGTGTTATTAAAACATTTTAAGATAGCAGTTTATGTAAAACTTTAAAAACAATAAATTTTAAGATACCTATTCTTTACGAATTTTAATGTAGTTACATATTGTGGTGTTTAAGTAGTATATATGTATGTATGTTTAGATATAGATTAAATGTACTGTGTATGTGTACACGAAATGATATGATCTACCAATTTTTTTCTCGACCATCAGGGATTAAACCTTCCCTACTACATCATACACTCCTTAAAACGATTAAGAAAATAGCTTACGTGGGAACAAATTACCATTAACCTTAATAGCCAATCCCACACTATATTACAAGATGTTTTTTGCCCCACATAGAAACTACTTTACATTTATCTCTAATTAATCGTGAGTTATAATTAAGCATGATTGTTCGTTCGATGATTCGTACCTCTGCTTGTTCTATGTATTTTATTTCAAACTTATTGATCTATCTATATAGACGATATACCTTCGCACTTCTACGTACTTATATAAGTTCATGTACTGAAATATAGAAACCTTAAAAAGTACAAGTAAACTGGTCAGCCACCCAAATTCATGTTATAGCTACTAAATGCTTAAAAGTGGTTATTTTAAACAACACAATTTAATAACAATTTTTCCGAAGTTTCGCTCAATTATCTCTCAAAAATATTTAGACTGGTCCTATTATATTGTAAATATAAAGTTAAAACCATTAAATGTACCTATGTACCAACATTAATTATCAAACTTGTGACTAAATAGACAACTCCTCATTTTTTAAAAATTTATATATTGTTTAAAAACGATGCCCACTGATCATTCCTTTCCGATCTTTTTTAATTAGTTACCAACTTTAGATTGAGTTATAAGGGTCATCGAACTTTGTATCAATATGTATACCTCAAGTAGTACACACCCATGTATGAATAATTATCTAATTACTTTAACTGTGAATTTTTTCATAAAAGGATTTTTTATTCCGTACACCTTTTCAGTTCGATAAATTTTTAAAAGAAACTTAAATGGACAACGCTTAAATAAATTAAACAATCTTCATATAGAGAGCAAACTTTATTTTAAGATAATTTTCATCTGAGATACTGAATTTATAAAAAAAAGCAATTTTTTTCTCTTTTGGGTTATATCTAAACTTTTAACAATTAGGAATTTCTAATTTCAATCGATGTTACTACACATAGTTTCGGCCATTTTTACACTAGCCAAACAGGAAACAATGTTTGAATTCTAAAAGTCGAACGAAAGTTCTAACGAATGCCAACTGCCTCGATGTTTCCAAGATGGCTAGTAGTAATAAAAAGCCGGTAAGCGACCGCACCATACGATTTCAAATGGGAGAAATAACGAAAAATGGTGCAATTGTATGCAGCAACACACATAATTTTAAAATCATTTTTCTTAAATAAATGCAATGATATAATTGAAATGTTTGTACTATGGACTTTATTACATTATAGCAAGAAATAACTCTAATATTTCAGCCATTACACTACAAGATGGCTATGACTGAAATACCAGATCTGAGTAAATCAAAAAATATATTACCTTAGCTCCTATTTGGTTTCCGCACTGGCCAGCTTGAATATGTACGATTTCTCTCATCTTGTTAAATTAATTTATTTTAACTTCACTTATATAAAATACACACGTTACCTACTCGGTAGTCCTAACGGTTTTGATTGAACGGCTGCACGAAGCTATGAAAGCGGATGGTGGAGGACGCGCAGATGCAGGAAAGATATACGGTGTAGAATATCCCTCTCCATTCCGTATTTTCGTGGTGCGGCGGTCTAATGGCTTCGCATCTAATAACGAAACCATTAAAATATGAAATTCCCGCGCACAATACAACAGAAACTATATAAAATTAAAATACTCGAAAAATCGTTAATTATATTTAGTCTTTACTTCAAATAACTTCGAATAACAAAAATATAAAACTTTAGTTCGTGTATTTAAATGCTCGAAATTCACGCTTCGTATCTTCAACTTTTCATTAACTGTCCATGTAGGTCGTCAATTTAATATGGAGTAGGTCTCTTAAAAATAAAATTTAATTTTAAAGAAATTTCTTGTAATTTTTAAAATGGTAATTAGTCTACCAAAGCGGAAGCGATAATATTGAGAAAAAGAAACGTCTGCCCACAACTTCAGACAGTATGACAGTAATCAGTAATTACTCATTCTTAGCTCCTACACAGCTCATTGCAACATTGAAGGTAAGGACACAGAAAAATAACAGTTTCATTATATTATTATATAGTATAAATAAATGGTAAAGCACCTTTATTTTATTTTTAATATATGTTGATTGCCTTGGAAGAATATCCATTCCCGTTTAAGATCTCGTTATCTTACTTAGTAAATCTTAATGTTTTTTTTTCTAGTTCTCTACTGTACACCTCGGTATATTTCAAAAAAACATTGTGATAGTATCCTTTTATTGAAATGCCTTTTTATTAGTAACAAATTTATAATTCATTTTAATCAAAACATTAAAAAAATACTTCAGACGGTTACAATAATTTTTACAAACGGAAGTTGTTCATTTATTTGGTGTAGGTAGATATTTTTAACTCAGTGATTCTATTTACTCAAATGATCGGAATATTTTATGAACATGCGGCTTTTCTTTCTAAAATCAGTTTCCTATTGAACACTTTTTGTGTACTTCAAAAATTGTCTAAAAACAAAATCAAATAAAACAGCAATTTGAATGGCAGCGTTTTAATATAAACAATTGAGAAAATATGGAACAGTTATAAATAAAACAATTACAAATAAAATTGGGAAGGCCTTTCAGTCTTGACACGCATAAATTATTTCAATTTACAAAATCTGGAATGTACTCGGTACAACGAACAAATAACATGTGTTAAATTAAAAAGCGGTATCAGATTTAGTGCAGGGACCATCGGAAGGAAAAAAAAAGGAGGAATTAGTTTTCATCTACTTCCGCTTCTTGTTCTTCGTCGAATTCGGCGTCTTCGTCTGCGGTTGCCTCTTGGTATTGCTGGTATTCTGATACAAGGTCGTTCATGTTTGATTCGGCTTCTGTGAATTCCATTTCGTCCATGCCTTCACCCGTGTACCAATGCAAGAAAGCTTTTCGTCGGAACATAGCTGTGAATTGTTCTGAAATACGTTTGAAAAGTTCCTGGATGGCTGTGGAGTTACCGGTGAAAGTGGCCGACATTTTAAGGCCTCTTGGTGGAATATCACATACGGCTGTCTTGACATTGTTAGGTATCCATTCGACGAAATAACTGCTGTTTTTGTTTTGGATGTTTAACATTTGTTCGTCAACTTCTTTCATGGACATACGACCTCTGAAGATAGCTGCCACGGTTAGGTAACGCCCATGTCGTGGATCGCAAGCAGCCATCATATTTTTGGCATCAAACATTTGTTGTGTTAATTCTGGAACGGTTAAGGCCCTGTACTGTTGGCTTCCTCTCGATGTGAGTGGTGCAAAGCCGGGCATGAAGAAGTGGAGTCGTGGGAATGGTACCATGTTGACAGCCAATTTCCGAAGATCTGCGTTCAACTGACCAGGAAATCGTAAACACGTTGTTACTCCAGACATTGTGAGGGAAACTAAATGATTCAGATCTCCGTAGGTTGGTGTTGTCAATTTTAACGTTCTAAAGCAGATGTCATAGAGAGCTTCATTATCGATACAGTACGTTTCATCGGTGTTTTCTACCAATTGGTGGACGGATAGGGTGGCGTTATAGGGTTCTACAACGGTGTCGGATACTTTGGGCGAGGGTACGACTGAGAATGTGTTCATTATCCTATCTGGGTATTCTTCACGGATTTTTGATATGAGCAATGTCCCCATACCAGAACCAGTGCCTCCTCCAAGAGAATGTGTAAGTTGGAAGCCTTGTAAACAATCACATGATTCAGCTTCTTTTCGTACTACATCTAAAACTGAGTCTACGAGTTCGGCACCCTCCGTGTAATGACCTTTTGCCCAATTATTTCCGGCTCCAGACTGGCCGAAAACGAAGTTGTCTGGTCTAAAAAGTTGTCCAAAAGGCCCCGATCTGACCGAGTCCATAGTGCCTGGCTCGAGATCGACAAGGATAGCACGTGGTACGTATTTGCCTCCAGATGCTTCATTGTAGTATACGTTTATTCTTTCTAATTGGAGGTCGGAGTCTCCGTGATATGCTCCAGTGGGATCGATACCGTGCTCATCAGAAATAATTTCCCAGAACTGCGAAAAAGATAATTTTATGAAAACAAATTCTTTGTACAGAAGTTATATTCCCGAAAAGTATATTCATCCTAAAATAAGCAGTTAGATTTTAATTAATTCAAACCAATAGTAAGTACTATTAGGTATCTAAATTATGCAGTTTCAGCTTTAGTATTACTAAAAGCATCTTGTAATTACTTCGTGGATGAATAACATTCCGCAATTTTCACGTCCAGAAGCGTGACGAAACGAGCTTTTGTATTCATTTACAGTTCCTCGTCTCAGGTCATGACCAAATATAGTCGCTAAATTACGTGGCTTACATCATCAAGGTCTATGTATATCAAACAGTGTAGATACAATTTGAAAAGAAACACCCACCGCAAATGCATATGCTGTTTTTACTTTAGTATGTAACAATTTAATAATTAACAAACAATTTTACGATAATAAAATCAAATAAAGATTTTCCTACAAACCATGTATGTAGGTAAATGGAAGTGTACATTTACATTTACTATTTTTAAATTGAACTGTTTAGTTTTTTTATTAATAATATAATAGGTACAAAACTTAGAAACTTCCGTATTGAATTGGAAGGTACGACCCTGTTTGTAACGGCTGTTTCATTGATTTGATAAAGTTTTATGTGTATGTGTTTTTGTTGTAGAGGCTAGCGTATGGTACTGTAGGGAGGTACTAGCATTTTTAAATATGTAGACTACTCCACACTAATTTAAAATCATTAGACACGTTGAATAAAAAACAGATAAAAAAGTAACGATCTATTTAAAAAGATTCAGA